TACAATAATAATTGTAAATAAAATCAAATAAATATATTTTATGTATAATAGATCTTACAATAAAATAGACAATTGTTTAAAAATACAATTCCAATTTATGCAGAGATTTTCAGCTTTATTTCGACACTTCTAATTTACATATGTATATTTTCATATATTTCTTACGTACAGGCATATATATTGTAAATTCTCACATTTTCATAAAGTTTTATATGTGTGAATTTTGTTAAGCTGATGCGCATTCGTAAAAATCCCCTCCAAATCCATTAAGCTGCATTGGTTGTCATTTCAAGTATTATTTCATGTGTATCTGATCTGCTATTTAAACAAATTTTTTCAACTAAAATATGGTTTTAAAATAATATTTATAAACAAAATGCACGACTAAAAGATTTATTCAATATTCTTTGTGTTCATAAAAACACCATTTTGATTCTCTAAGAGTAAATAAAACCTTTAAGTCTACGATCATAATTGAGGCCACATATTGAGGTCAGGAGTACTGCATTCAACGAAAGACCCCCAACTGCTTTTTCCATTACAAAACAAGGATATCAAGGGCATTATAATATATATTCGATTACATTCATATTTTTACACAAATACTTTATAATTTTTCATTTATATATTTCCCCTTTTCCCTCCAATTTATTCATCCTTCCATTTTATGATCTTTTTCTATCTTACTTTTGACACTACTTATTTATCTCTCTTGCGCCTATTTCCTTTATGTTCTCTCTTTCTATTTCACGGCATTTCAACTCCTTGTCTGTCTCTCTTGATCTTTCCTGTTCTGTCGAATCGAACTAGCCTCCCTTCCTGCGAATTTACGTGGATATTTCTACTTGTGAACGGTTCCAATCTTCAGGATGCAGGCCATTAAATGTGTTGTCGTAGGTGACGGGTGAGTATTTTAAAATTTATTACAATATTTTTTAATATGTTCGCCTTTTCTTGTTTTCGATCGACACTACTTGATTTAGAGAATCATCAAAGTACCCCTTGGCGATTGGGTTTTCCTGATCAAGAACTATTTAAAAGCTAGCACCACACCCGTTACTCA